ATAATAAATGTGTATTTAGGAAATAATAATTATAAAGCCTTTGTGTTGAAAGATTTGGGAGCCTCAGCTTATTCCTTACACAAAGAATTTGTTAAAAGTCATAAAATACTATTAGTACAAAAAACTAAACCTGTTCATGTAGAAGTCTTAGATAGTCATCCATTGTTTCTTGGAGATGTTATTCATAAAACACTTCATATAGATGTAGCAATAAATGGTCATAGTAATTGCATAATCTTTAATATAATTAGATCTTCCTTTAATCTAGTCATTTTAGATTTATTATGGTTAGAAAAGTATAATCCTTGCATAGGTTGGATTTCTCATACTCTTGACTTTTCTAAAAGTATAATTAAGAGTGAAATTAATCCAATAGAAATTCATAAGTCTAGTACAATTAAACATAAGTTTGTATGTGCAAGAACTTTCTTGTATGCTGCAAAAGAAGGATCACCTTATGTCATCTATGCCACACTTGTTTCTAATGATGCAAAGACTTCAAAAGGCATTTGTAGGCAGTATTAAGAATTTCAAGATTTATTTGAGAAGAAGAATGTGGATACTTTTCTAGAATATTTTTCTTATGACTATTCAATTGACCTTTAAGAAGGAGCACAACCGCCATTTGGACCAATTTATAGTTTATCACAAAATGAATTGGTTGAGCTCAAGGAATATATTGAAGAAAATTTGGCTAAGAATTTTATACGCCATTCCAAATCATCAGCAGAAGCTCCAATCTTATTTGTGAAGAAGAAAGATGGATCATTGTAGATGTGTATTGATTATTGAAGACTCAACAAGATGACCATCAAGAATAGGTAACATCTATCTTTGATATCCGCACTTTTCAATCAAGTGAATCAAGCTGAGATCTATAAAAAAAATAGATCTATAGAGAGTATATAATCTGGTATATATTAAAGAAGGAGATGAATGGAAGCTTGCATTTCAAACTAGGTATGGACATTTTGAATACAACATGATGCCTTTTGGACTTACAAATGCACCAAAAGCTTTTCAACATTTAATGAATGATGTTTTTTTGAGAGTTTTTAGACAATTTTGTTGTCTATTATCTGAATGACATCTTGATCTATTCTAAAAATATAGATGAACATAAACTAGTATGGTGGAATGAATAATTATCAATTTTAGCAATGGTGGTTATAAATATGGATGTATTACTAATAATATATCTACAATAAATTTCCATATTTATAAATATTGGTATTTTACTTCCAATCTTAGAATATTTATTGAAGTCTTGTAAATCTTTGAGCCTATATATTGAAAAAAACTTATTTAAGAAGTAGAACCATTTTAAGATAATAGTTATCAATTAGAACTAAGTGTGAGAAAATTTATCTTGTTAAAATATCCATTTGTATTAATAATCATGTTGTTGACTTTGTAATGGTTTGTGAACATTGTATTGCCAAAGGATTTTATTTTAAAATTAAAATATATAGATAGAGATTAGAATTTGATGTCAACGTGAATAATATTGAAAAAAATTCATTTGTGAATGAAGTTTTAGACAACTTGATATATATAATCATTATTCAAATAACTTTATTTATAGATTTGACATTCATTTATGAAATCTCATCAATAAGTTATCTCTATATAAAATTTTTCATCTATGAATCAAAAGAACATTAAAAATTGAGGATTTTTGAGTGATTTTTATAATTTATTTTTATAGAAAGAAATTAAGATTATCTATAATCAAAACTCAAGTAATTAATATAATCTAATAAAAAAATTATATATGTGGAATATGTATCATAATTGTATATGTATTTTTGTAGAATAACTTGTTTTTTTTTTTCTTTTATAATAATATTAAAGTCTTCAACTTTAATTCTATTAATTTTTAGGCTAAAAAATTTATTTATTAAAAAAAATATTATATATATGATTGTAAAATCAAGATAATCATCATCAAATTCTAGCAAATTTAATGTAGATAATTTTTTATATAAATTTTTTTGTTAATTATTTTGAAAAATCATTATCATTTTTATATTTACATATCTCAAGACCAATATTTTTTAATAAAAAAAATAAAAATTATTTGAATTTGATAAATTCATTTATTTAGATTCTATACTTAAAAGATTTTTTCCATCGAAAATAAAACTTACACTCTTATATCACTAGATATTATAGTTGTAATTTTATTACTTATAAATTAAAGAATTAAACATAGTGTAAAAGCTTTCTAATTGTTTACTCTTTAAAATTGATTAAACTATCATTTTTCTAATTAAAAAATAGATAGTTATTTGATTCTTTATATAAATATATCTTATAAAATAAATAGTTGAAATCCATGTCGTTGGCTACAAAAAAGATGTAAAAGTTTAATTTGCATAAAAGTATAAAATAAAAAAATTTCTTACATCTATATATTCCTACTAATCATGTTTAAACTTCTTTTCATAAGACTTAATTTTTTCATTGAATCCTTTATAAGTGCATTGTACAAATATGTACATTTACTTAATACTATTTTTATAGTAAAAATAAGATATAGATGCTAGAATTATTAATTTATGTAATAAATCAAATCTTTGGAAGAACTTTTGATGTCCAAAACCACCACTCTAATCAATAGCTCAAGAATTCCTTGCAAAAAGACAAAGACAATAAATTAAAGACCACATAGAATCCACCCTAATTATAGAAGTAGGATTACTTTTCAAATAAGATTGTACCGAAAGCACCTAAAGGCATCAAATACAAGGTAATTTCTAAAAAAAAATCTTTAAATCATCAACATATCTAATTGCAAGATGGAAATGTAATACAAATTGGTTGTTGATGAATGGCACCCACTCATCCAATACACGTGGAACTGATGATCCTTTGATCTTTTCTCTCTTTGTGTCTCCTTTTCTTGTTTTTTTATTTTATTTTATTTTTTTGCCTCAATTCTATTACATCTAAGTTTGTTGCATCATCCGCTTTATAATTTCAAAATTCCACATCATTCTTGTACAACTTTTGATCTCAATACTTAGGCCTTTATAACAAAGACACATGGTGTATCTTTGGATAACTGAAGATATGCACATCTTTGTCATTGTCGTCAAGCATAGTAATAATATGGCCTCTTTATCATTACCAATTACACATACAGACATAACTTCTTTTACAAAACTATCATGGATTCTAAACTTATTTTATTTTTATTTGGTATTCAATAATAACTTACAAGAAGAAATAAGTGAAAAATTAAAGATTGCACAGAATCCACCACAATCGCAAAAATAAAGCTACTTTTCTTAACCTTGATTGAAAGCTTCCAAGCTCCATGCCTTGTGATCTTGCAATACTACTTTTGGAATTTTTCAACAATAGGATGCAGATTTGCATCTTTAATTAATTAAAACTAAAGTTATTGCTTTACTTTTGCTTCATTTTGATGAAAACAATGAGATATGCAAACAATCAAAGATTGTTTTTGTTTCCTCTAGTTCATCCTGTTGGTTTGTCCCTCTTGAGTTGTTTTATATAAGAGATTCTATATAATATATTTTATATGTTGAGATACAAAAATTATAAATTTTATATAGAAATTGAAAAAGTTTTTGATCAACTATACTCACTTTTAAATTTGTCTTGTGAATAATCTTTAATTGTAACTTATTTATTATAAATTAAAGCATCTTATTAATATTACTTTTATCATTTATTATAATTTTAAACTAATTTATCAATAATTTCTATATTTATTTCAATAGATTCATATCTTCAATACTTTACCTCTTATTCTTCTATCATATCCAATAGAACATCTTAAATTTCAACCTTAGCTCTTTCTTCTATATTCTTGACTTTTTATTATAGAATCTCTTATTTTTAAATTTTTGAACAAATTAATTTTAAAATTTTTAATTACAACTCTACAAAATTCTTTCTATAATTTGTAAGATTTAGCAAAGTTATATATTTTATTAATTGTTTAACATTTTGTAAAGAAGTTAAAAATCCAAAGTTTTTCTTTACTTCCAAATTAATATATAACTTCATGAAGCTTACTTAAAATAGATGGTTGTTCTTATTTTAGTTTTTAATATACTTCTTTGATAATTTATTTTATTTCAAAATATATAAGAGATTCTTTTGACATATGCAAAGACATCTCATTTTTTTACATTATATAGTAAATAAACTCTATGTTAATTATATTTAAAAAGACATCACTTTTTATGTCAATACTTTATGAGAAATTTTAAAAAAATAATAATAACTAAAAAAATCGTTGTTATTTTAATTAATCTATATAAAAAATTTGATATCTATAATTTTTGTATTTTTTTAGAGTATGTTTTTGTAATCTTAAATAAAAGAAATCTTTTATATTTTTTGAAGTACGAAGAAATCATAATAATCATAAGTGAATAAATTACATCTTTAAGCATCAAACAATTAAAATCATAAATAACTTCGAATTTATAAGTATAACTTTCTATTGATTCAACTACTATTTGATCAAAATCATACAATGAAAATAATTTGTTAATAATTATAAGATTTATTATAAAATTTTAAAAGATTTTATTAAAATGCAATGACTATCTTTAAGACCATTTTATTTTTACTTTTATTTTCTTTAAAAAGATTATATATATATATATTATTTTCTAATACTTAAGAATTTAATAAAAATAAATTAAAGCTGTAAATTATTGAAGTTTCCAACTTATCTTGCACAAAGTACATATACAAAAAAACAAAAAAAACAAAAAAACAAAAAAAACTTGTCTCTTGTACAAAAATAAAATAAAATAAAATAAAAAATTTTGAATTTATAATTTAATAATACCATATCAATAGACTAATGTCTATTGATGTTAATTGATGACATTATAGGGCCAAACAAACAAGAAACACTGCCACTTTAAATGAATTGAATGAATACAAAATAAAAAAGACAAAAACAACAACAAAATGTTTCTAGCAAAGGAGAGAAAATTACACTATCCACATGAGCCAAGCAAAAATGCATAAATTAAAGTGAAAATCCAACATGTCACAATTGAACCCTACACTCTAGCTGAACCCTAGCTGGACTATCATGTTTTGGTGTATTATGTAGAGAAAGCTGTGTGAAGGCATGATGTTTGTGGCATGCCATCAGTTGCAGCTGTCACAAGACTACATTGGAAGTTGATGAATTCTACCTGTTCAGAATGTTATCTTGTTCTTCCTTGCCACATCACATAGTTCATACTGTGCTGTTTAGGGTATCCCTTCTGATGCCATTTCCACTGGCAAACTGTACCAATTGAGAAGTATCCAATGCTGGTTGCTTCAAGCATATCAATGCCCCAATTCATCGTTCAACAATCCAGTGAAGTATCAGCAGAATCGCTTGGTCACAGTCCAAAGTGAAAACAAAAAATGAATAAATAACTAAATAAATAATTTGTACGTACATATATATACCACTCAGTCTATCTGCGAAGCTTTACTCTGTGAAATCAAGGAGCAAAACTTTGAAGAATGCTGCCATCCTCCAGAGTCTTCTCAGTTTAGGGTTTGGAGGCAACACGGATAGCGACCCTCCCTGATCAGAAAAGTCTCCAAAACGCTAATCTTTTGCTACTTTCGGATGAATTACACTCTTATCGTGGTGAACACCCTGCTTTTCACAACAATTCTGTTCACTTGAAATCCTGGAACTACCGTGAAGCCAGCACTAATGGAGATGGAAGTAGATTTATTATACTCACCGTCTGCATGCGGGACGACAGGCTCCATGTATTGCGAATCGAACATCTTCCCGTCTTGTACACGGAAAATCCGAGCATTGGGATGCAATGAAAATGCGAGCTTGTGTACGATGAATACAGACAACGCAAATCTGACAAAGCTCGAAGTCATTTTGAACTCCGGTTCATTACTGGATGCTAATCGTCTTCGCATCCCATCAGCTGCAAAGACTTGGCCGAACAGCAAAGCTCCTAAGTTACGAGCACCACGAGCCTCAGTGTGGGAGATGGCAGTAATAAGATCCTCTCGCTTCTTGATGCAAAACCTTCGGAATTCATTGTTGGTTGCGTCCTCATATACAAGTTCTTCTGGGTTTTGTAAATCCACAATATCCTTGTAACGCTGAAAATTATCTTCCCGAGACTGCTCAGGGTCAAGGATCCCAAGTGCGTTGTCCTCGATGTTGAAACATTCGCTCTCAAAGTCTGCAAACAAGACCTTACAAACGAGAGCTTGATATACGAACTTGGTGTGGGCGTCTCTTTCAAAGAGCACAGACGGCTTCAGGGTTTTGGCCACTGTGGAGCAAGGCACACCATCGTTCGACAAGGCCAACATCAAAAGCTTGGTGAAGTTGCTGGATGTCGTATTCACTCTCTCCAAGGCTTTATAAAGAAGAGTCGGAGTAGGTCCCGTGTCCAAGAAGGACTGCCCGCCTGAGAAGTTATTCGAGTTCCGTTGTTCGGGAAATTTCGACTTGTTCTCGAGTTCTACAATCCGGACGTCTTTTGCAGCGCTGTCTTTCTCAAGTTTTTGAATCTGACTCCTCGTATTAACATAGTCTTCCTCAGCCTCGGTTCTCTGACGCTTATTCATAGCGATGGCGATTTCCTTGCAGCTATCTCCGAGATTCTCTCTATCTTGGTCAAAATCCTAAAAACCGCACTCTCTTGCTCAAATGTCCAAGTTCTGGACCGAATGAGGTCAATAACATCTCCACACAATCCCTCCCAAAACCCACCTATCTGAACTCCCAAGTGCCGCAAACTACCCAGTATCCTAAAACATTCATTCCATGATCATTCGCGGTTCTCTAGAAATTACGAGACATTGCACACATTAAACATGGTAATTAGCCTCCATTCTGAGGAATCCTTCCTCTCCACAACAACAATGTAGATTAAGCGCATCATTGTTAAACCTCTTGCCTTACAATTTCAAGCAATCGCAAGGGTCTCACCGAAATTGAACACGAAGTAATTGCTGTGTTTCTCAGCGCAGTACTTAACTCAACCTTGTCGGACCACCTACGAGTTGCTTCCACGCGTTATCAACTATCGAAATGATTTACCGATTAATGGAGCATAAGTGCGAAAGCCTGAGAGCAGCACATCGAATAGCTTCGGAAATTTCCTCACTGCTTCCACAGTGCGGTAGTCTTGATATCTGCAGTGCTACGTGTAACGGAAAGGAACCCTTTGGATACTGTGTTTAAACATCCCTCGGACTGCTCCGTCGCCATTCATTGAGGTTCATCGTCATTAAGTTTTGCATCCAATCTGTTCTACTCTGTTCGGCTTCGGCTTCGGCTTCGGCTTCGGCGTGCTTTCGTTGGCAGCATTTTACCGTGCACGACACAATACCAAGTCAACTGTTACAGATAGTAAAGAAACAAGATGTAGGTTTTTATGATCAAAATTTGATTTGAAACTATCATTTGCAAATTTGAGTATGTACAAGACTGTGATTGGTACAGCCCGGCCTATCATCCTGGCCGGGCTAAAAGTTCAAAAATATTCTTCTGATTCCGCAGAGAGCCAATTTGCTGGATCGAAGCGACTAAGTTGGAGCCTATTACCCGATTTTCCCTTCTTGCGACCTTTCTCTATCCTACGAAGTGATCTTTTCCCACCACCCGCTACGCATGAATCAGTATTAATTCTCTTTCTGCCTATTTGCTTCTCGCCGTGTAACATGTCTACTTGGAATTGTGGTTCCTCCAGTTGCTCAATACGGCTAGCTAAATTGTGAATAATGTCGTTCTGTTGTTTGCCCCAATGTAATACTCTCCCAACTACATCCTTGAGTTTTCGATTTTCGTCAAGCAGTTGTTGCAGCAGCGCACGGTTAGACAAAGCTTCATTATTGTCAGCAGTTGAAGATTGGGGGTGGCCTTGTAGTAGCCTCTGGCAACATTGAGGTGCCAGAGAAGTAGCCTGAGGAGTAATCAGAGAAGTACCTGCGGGAATCATACACCGATTGTCTAGGTCCACTGATCCAGCCTTAGTCTGTCTCTCTTCCAGACATTTAGAAATGTCAAGATTATCACGACCCGAGTCACAGCATGATAACCTACTGAGATCAGGCTTTACAAGTACATTCGACGGCTCCTCTGCTTCTCCTCTCCTCACGTTATGTTCCTTGCCGTGAACCACATCATTCTCGACAGAAGCTATTGCATCACTCTCCTGTGATGCTGACTCGTCAGCAACAACACTTGAGGGTTCGCTTGCCACGAAATTTTCCAATTGACAGGATTCCTGATTGCCACCTTCAACATCCATAGGTGGTACACTTTCCAAATACTGTGACTCAGATTCGACATTTTCTTCTAAGTCGACAGCCGGCTCCCCTGCAACCTCGTTTTCTACATCCATTGGAAAAGCAGCAAAAGGCTCTGTCAAGCTCGGATCCAAACCATCACTTACTATGGGATCCACGATCACACCCATTGAACTGTGAAGTAAGCCGTCCTGATCATGATGACTCGTAGAAATTGAGGCAACATGCTCTTCAGGTGCCTGCTGCTCAGATGCTACATCCTCAATGCCCTTGATGCTGTTAGAATCTTTTTCCCGTAGCTCGTTCTTCGCTTCAACGGCACCGTCGTAGTCCACTGCTTGTTGGGGCTCTGAGGTAACATTGATACCATCCTCATTTATTGCTCCCTCCAAATAATCTAAATTCTCCGACGCACCTATACTCTCCGGAATGCTTTTGTCAATTCCCATTTCCTTTACGCTTTTTTCACCGGGAGAATCTTCGCCGTTATCAATAAGTTTCGACCCTTCATTCGAAAAATCGAGATTATCACCATTCTCCTCAACCATGGATGAGTCTTTCAAGTCCTCATCTTCAGAAGCATCTGAAATAGAATCCAGCTTCTCCTGAAATTTTATCAATTCTTTGGCCACTGACTTGCGTACGAGACGGACGTCCGAATGCGCACCTTGCAATTGATCCAACCGTAGCAGCAATGCCATAATGCCTTCTGTCCACTTCAATCTCTCCTGCGGGTCAGTACAAATTCTTTTCTTCTGCGGTACTTCTTGAAACCTAAGCTCGAAATTCTCCAGCTCCTCCTTAACTTTCCTAATCAATTTCAAATGCTTTAAAGGCTTAGTCTTACGCACACAATAACCACGATACACAGCCTGCACCTTCGTTGCTGCAGCCGTCTCACTCTCGAACTTCCCAACACGAGGCGGAACTTCTACTTGCACAACTTCCTGCGCCACCGCCTCGAATGCACTTCCATCCGTAACAGGAATTATTCTCACTGTCTTCTTGCTCGGTGTTTCCTTGACCTTAGCCGGATAGGTCCAATCCTCTGGCACCCTCGAATAACCATAACTATCATTCACAGGAGCTCTTGGACGGTAATGCCCAGGCCTCGGCTGCGCCCCAGGATACACATACGAACTGCTGTAGGGATCCCACATGTTATCAAAGTATCCTCCACCCATTAGCAACTAAACAGAAAAATATCAGCTCACTGGAAGACACCACCAGCTCGATCAAAAAACAAGACGCTCCAGATTCAACTGGATTTACAACTACGATTGCACCAATTCCACGATTCGACCACTGCCCTTAGAATACTTGCAAGTATGCTAATCTACACAGCGTGTGACAGACTTGAAGAAGCTAAGCGATCTATGGAATTATTTAAAGCGAAGCATGCAACTTGTAAGCGAAACGGCGAAGCTTCAGTGGAGGTCTCTAGAACAGAGCAGTTGCCCGCGCTTTCGAGCACGTTCTAGAACATTCAGCATCAGTCCAGAGTCGGAAGCTCCCCTGGCACATGCCACGTAGACTAAAAGAATCTTATATGTGCGTACGTGGATCAGATATTAAACGGATAAGAATCTAAGTCCGGATATATGCCCGGGTATGGAGAATCTCGAATCTTCGGCTTCTCTCCTCACTCTTGTCGTCTGTCCAGGGAAAAACTTATCTTTGTATGGAGGTGCACTCCACTGCGATTAGCAAGGGTGTCTCAATCTCGGCGTGGAAATGATTCTGTATTATTTTATAGTTCTTCGATCTATTGTTGCAGAAGAAAGAGTAGTCACTTAATTGCTGCTGTGCAAACCACTTGCTTCTAATTCGAAAGTAGGCCAACGGGCGTTGCGCGGCGCTCTCTCAGTGTTTGAAGCATTACTTTATCAGTCTTGTCGCAGGTTTTGAGTTACGTTGGAGTTTTTGCGGCATCAATTTTGAATTCCAGCAAATGCAATTAGAGTTTGGTAGTTTCGAGTCTCTCTCTCGCTCTCTCTCTCGTGCATGTTTACAGAGTTTTGAGTAATTGCAGCTGGTAAGTGAGAATGGTTCTGAGATTTAGGCAGATGAAATTATATGAACGGGATTTGAGTGTTCGCTAGTTGGTGTTGTTTCGCTAATTTGTTGAGGACTTTAACAGTAAAAAATCTATGTTGAATTAATTTTTTAATTTATAGTAGTTTTGAAACGGTTTGATTACTGAAGAAAATTAATTGTGTATTCTCGTGCATTGTTTAGGCAAAAAAGCTCTGCTACTAATGTGACGTGTGTATTGACAAAAAAACACTAAATGCTCTATTCTCCAAAATTAATATTTAATTTAATTAATTTGTATAAATATAAATATACAAAATTTCAGATTATTATTGTTATATGGTACAAATATTTATGTGTACGTTTTAGAAATCTAATCAATCTAAAAGTAATCTAATCTAATCAATCTAAATGTAAATTCTGCCAAATGTTTTAAGAGCCATTTTTAAAAACTCAAATGTTGATTTTTATTTTTTGAATATTAAATAAAAAAATTAGAATATAAATTTTTTATTAATTTTTTATTAAATTTTAAAATGTGTAAGCTAAAAGAAAAAATATACTATACAAGAGATCAAACAAAAAGTTGAACAAAAGAGTTTTAAAAAGAAAACTATCATGAATTTAATTGAACCAAATAAGTACAAAATCAACATCAAGAACAATGAACTTAAGTTCTAAAAGATGTATTGTTGAGATTAAGGATTTTTTTCAATCTTGACTTCAATATATACTAGATATTAGAAAGCTTCTCAAGAAGTTTCTATGCTACTTGAAAATGAAGCAACCTTAAGAAGCTACTTGAGAAATTTCCATATTGCTTAAAAATAAAGCAATCTTAGGAAGCTTCTTAAGAAGTTCATGAAAAATGAAGCAATCCTAGGAACTATCTAGAACCTTCTAGAATATTCTAAGAATATTTTAGAATATTATAGAACTTTCTAAAATCTAATAGAATTTTTAAAGAATATTCCTAATTTCTTCTTATTAGATATCTGTAATATCACCTCTTTATTTAACTCTAATTTCCACGAGGACCATCAGTTTCATATCTTTTTTTTTGTTATATACAACATCCTAACAATATCTTCATAAAAAAGTTATTTTAAAATAGGTTTAGATTTTTGAAGATAACATCAATGAAACTCTGTATCTTTTGTTCTACAATAACTAGATTTTTTATTGGTTTCCATGTACGCTCATTGATATCATAGCAGTGCCAATGAATAAAATACTTCAATTTTTCTTTCTTTGCCAAAAATCAAAAATCTTTTCTACATCATATTTTACATGATTATTTATTTTAATGTAAGGTGGTGATGGTTGCATTCTTCTTGAAATAGTTGATTTTGAATAAGCCTCTAAGAGAGAAACATGAAAGATTGGATGTACCTTCATAGATATGGGTGGTTCTAACCAATAAGCCACTAGATTGATTTACTTTTGAATACAAAATGGTCCTAGTCTATGATAGTCTAACTTATCGCAAAGTCGATTGATCTTAATATTTTGTCGAAGTATCCATACTCTATTTCTAACTTGAAAAGATGATGATTATTTTCTAAATTCGTATAAAGATTCTTTGTAAGAAACTTGAGCTATTTGTAAATAGAGCTTCAAAGTTGTTTGGAATTGTAATAATTGTTTTGTAAGAGCTTCAACTCTTATATTTTCATCTTTTGATGTATTTAACAAATCAAGCTTCAAATAATAATTATAATTAGAATAAAATCATATTTGATGATTTAAAGTAGGAAGAATATTATTATAAGCAAAATTTTCTAAAAGTAAATACAAGGTCCAATCATCTTATTGATAGTTGTTGGTATATCACAAATACTACTCCAAAACTTGATTGACTTATTTGACCATCTGTTTGGAGGTAGAAGATAGAAGAAAGTTTGATATCCACCTTTAAAATTTAAAAAAAGGATTTCCAAAACTTTGATATAAATTGAGGTCTTTAATAAAAAATAATATCATTAAATAAGTTATGATATTGATGTATATTATCAAAAAAGAGCCTTGTTATTTCTTCTCCAAAAATTACCTTTTTACATTGATGGTGGCAGATCAATGATGAAATCTATTGTTATTAAAGACCATAGTTGCTTCATAATTTGTAGTGGTTGTAGAAGTCCATAAGGACGATGTTGAGAATTCTTGGATCTTGAACAAATGTCGCACAAGAGAACAAAGTCCTTCATGGTCTTTTATATTTGAAGCCACCAAAAATTTCAAGAAATAAGCTATAATGTTTTATTAAACCAAAAATGTCCTAGGGCTAGAAAATCATAACAAGATTGAAGAACAAGAAATCACATTTTGGAATATATAAAAAATCTTAAAAATACAAAAGATCTTCCACAATCTCAAACTTTTTTTGTCAAGGCATTGTCATATTGCGTGAAGTCTTGCTTGAGAATACACCAGGCACTTGGTTGTATAAGGTAGAATAGAAATTTCTACAACAAAATCCTAACTTTAATAGAATACTAAATAAACTCCAATTAAATCTTAACAATGCTAAATAAACTTTAATCAAATTCAAAAGAAATCTTAAAGAAATTATAAAAGTAACAATAAGAAATCTTAAAAGAATTGAAAGAAAATCCACAATAAATCTTAAAAGAATCTTTAAGAAATCCTAAAAAATATGAAAATAATTACAAATAGATCTTAAATAAATCTCAATTAAGTTCTAATTTAATCCTAATTGAAACTTTAATGTAATTTAATCAAATTCTAAATGAGTCCTAAATTCTAAATCAAATTCTAGACAAATCCTAAATCCTAAATTAAACCTTAGATAACTCTTAAGTCTTAAATCAAACCCTAGAAAAATCCTAAACCTTAAATCAAATCCTAAACCAAATTCTAATCTTAAACCAAATTCTAGACAAATCCTAAATCTTAGACCAAACCCTAGATAAATTTTAGAGCCTAAATCAAATCTTAATCCTAACCAAATCCTAACCAAACCTTAACCAGCTCAATCTATTCCTGGTATTGTTTAGAACCTCAATATGTATCAAACAAACTATTGATCTTATTTAAAAATTTACAAACTTTTTAATAACTAAGTTAGCAACAACCACACAAAATGTGAACATAATCACAAGTACTAAATGGAAGAAAAATCCTAAAATCCACTTGGATGTTAGCTGGCCTGTTACTTCAATTTGAATGTTGAACTTCCTATCCTAATATCTCCTTTTTAAGTTTTTCAATTATTTTCAAATTTTATATATGTGTAGAAAATCAAGTCTATTATTTTCATGTATAAATTTTATTCAATCCAATTAGTAGATTTTTGAAGATCTTAGAAATCCTAACTATCTCTCAAAGTCTAATTTTTGAAATTTCAACCTACTTGAAATTCAATAACCTTCTATTTAACTGTTCGATCAAACTCAAACTTACAAAATATATTTCAAACAACCATTTTCACAAGTCTTCAAAATTTGAATTATAGATCTACTACCAAACTCACGAGATTTTTCAAATTAAATACTCTTTGTATTTTACAAATTTTAGAGTCACCCAAAACAACTATGACTTTGCAAAGCACTTACAAAGTCATTACTCACTCAAATCATCCAAAATTAATGCTCAAAGAAACTTTTTTAAGTTTTTTCTCAAATCCTATTCTCTGAATTGCAAAGAAGCCCCTAAGTTGCCATAAGTACTTGGTTTTGTGCCTCAAGGTCTAATTTCAATCCACGTTGATAACGGGTCTGCTTTAAGTATCAAATTTTGTCCTTTTGAATTATTTTTTGTTAAAATCAACTCCTCACTTCTTCCTATATATGCTTATGTCTTTTATTTTTTTAATCTATTTTGTTTCACCTTATTTATGGCCTTACAAAATAAGTAGAAGCCTACTTTGTAAAAAGGTAGCATTTACATCTTTATTTTTACTTTCTTTTGGACTATTGTTTATTTTCTAAGATAATTTTCTACAATATTTAAAGTAAAATCTTCTATAATATGATAATTTCTTCACCCTTTTCACCTTTTAGTCATATTATATTACAATAGTGCTGCTCGATATTACAAACTAATGAATCTTTGATTGACGTTGCACAAATTTGTTCAAGCAAACTTGGATCAAATAGACTAATCATAGAAGTAGCATACAAATAAAATTATTCTAGATTAAAAAGAATAGCATATTATTAATCAAATATTTCTTCTTTGACCTTTGGAGCAAGATATGATCTCTTTAATAAATCATCTGATAGTCCTTCTTACTTTTTTAATTAATATGTAATTACAAAATCAAATAAAAATAATGATATATTCTAATAAACTTGGCATCAATTAAAAACCTAAGTTGATATAAAATAC